AGGAATTTTCCTAGCTTCTTACTATCCTGCCTCATTACCAAATGAACCATCTAGGTAAAGCCAGGTTGTCTTTTGAATCTCAGCAATCCTGTCAACAATGTGGGTTCTTTAGTGCCTTGGGCATTAATCTTTTTTCTCAATATTCTAAAATTCCCACTTAATTAAAAAATTTTTTTCCAAAGGTATAATTTTTTTTCACCATTATATTGCATTGTGCATGAGAGAAGACACTTTGTTTTATATGTGGGATTATATTAGCCATGGACCCCAAAAGGCTGAGAATAAAAGATGTTATAAAGTGATTGTGGGGGCATGGAGGATGAACCGGGAATACCCCAAGCATGTAATAGATATTCAACTTTAAATAAATGAATACCTTCTCATACTGGGTTCTGTGCAAAGGTCCAAGAATATCATAAATAACATGTAAGAGACATTGTCTTCATGCTCTTGGAACTTAGAGTTTAGTAGAAAATCATAAAACATTTATAAAAAAATAAAGGAAGTGGAGCTCGTTTAGTCCCAGGCACTTTGGGAACAGTGGGCTTTGGTGCATATATGGCCAAGTCCAAGAACCACAGCATTTTACAACCACAAAAATGGCATTGAGCTATGAATATCTTAAGGGGGTAGACTCCAAGTTTCTGAGGAATATGCACTTTTCAGAGAAGCACAACAAGAAAGGGCTGAAGAAGCTGCAGACCAACAATACCAAGGCCATGAGTGCACGTGTAGAGGCTATTAAGGCCCCCCAAAAGCCCAAGGAAGTCAAGCCCAAGATCTCAAAGGGCAGCAGCCACAAGCACAGTCGACTTCCCTACATAGCTCACCCCAAATTTGGGAAATGTGCTTGTGCCTACAAAGCCAAGGGTCTCATACTCTGCCGTCCAAAGTCCAAGGCCAAGGCTGCAGCCACAGCTCAGGTTCAGGGTCCTGCCCAGGCTTAGGCTCCCATGGGTCCCCAGGCCTTCATGAAGGCTCCAGAAGAGAGGCCTCTTTTTGCTTATGTGAGGATGTAAGGACTGGTGTGACCCTGGGCTTCTGTCTACAAGGGGTTAGTGTCCTCCTGAGCTATTTGTACAAATAAACCCAAGGCAGAAAAAAATAAAATAAATAAATAAATAAATAAAATAAAGGAAGTGGAAAACTAGTGCTGTGAAGTTTCAGTAATTAATTATAACTTTCTCTAATAACTATTTTTT